GTACAAGTTTCGACATGGCGGTTCTCTCCTGCACTCGAGCCCATGTTTTTAAGTCTCTGCGCATGTGCTGAACGCACACCGCAGGTTAATAATATTGCGGCCTAGACTACAAGTCACCAGATTCCACATGGTTTCTTCTGTTTTGAATGAGTGTTTGAAATATTCACTAGCCTTTCATGAATAGAACTAATTCTTTGATGCAATCTGCAACATTGTTTGTGAGAAAAATTTTGTAGTTTAATTGTCTATATTTCTTCAACAATTTCTTTGAGCATCGGAGATATTATAATTGTTATTTGGATTTTTTAATTCAATCACGAAACCTATGTAATCTTTATGGAAAAATGTAGAACTAAATCTAGTGTTCCTTTGCGTATCCTTTGCGTATCTCTTGTGTTTTTATAGCCGAGCGCATTGTGGTAACATCTTTGCCAACACACCATACATTCTGTTTGCTATCAACAAAAGTAATTAGAGGTAATTCAAATTCAATATTGAAGAAATCTATTGTCATAAGACTCATTATTATAATAGTGTCATAAAAAATCCTTTAGCAGTAAAATTATTCTCTAATTTGTTTTTCATTTTGGCCATTTTTGTGGCCTCAGCCTTGACTTCATTCTGGCGGGCGCTATAGTTTGGGAGGTCTGAGGGGGGCGTTTGCTCTCCCCAGCTATTGGCTATTTTTTATGGCTTCAAGACCTATCCCTTCTGCTGGACAAGTCAGCTTTTTGAAGGTCTAAAAATCCATTTCTCGCATTTTCTTATGATATATTGACCGGGTCTTTCATTTGTACCCAACTGTTGAAATCATCATCATATCCTTTCCATTTTACTAAAAGCTTATTTCTTTTTGTAATCTCTTTCGATGACTTTATCAATTCTGAACACTTCTTGTTTTACTTTCAGCAGTTCAGTCTCATACAAACTACCTTTGATTTCTTCATTGTTCAAATCTTTTATTCTGTAAGTAATTCAGTAGATTTGTGTACTGTATCTTGTTAATAATAAAAATCTCTTTTGTTCAATTTAGAGTATTGCTTTCGTCAAAACTTTTTCTCTTATACTTTGATTTTCTGACCTTATCACTGACTTTGAACTTTGGTTTCATAGAAGAGCTTTGTTCATTATTATACAAATTTAGGTACACAATACCTAAATCCTTCTTTTTGTTGCTTCTGTTGGTGTCATTTTGATATTTGTGTGTTTGGTATTATTGTGCTTGTTAAGTATTTCTGGAACTGATATCAAGATAATAAGTATTTCCCTGAACAGTAAATTGTTTCCACATTCTCTGCTTGTTCTATCCACCTCTCAACAACACTTGATTTTTCTTCATTTTCCGTTGAGTACATTTTAATGTCATTCTTTTACAGCAATTCTTCCAAATTCTCATTATAAAACTCTTTTCCTTCATCGACCCACAAATATTTTGGCTTTTTGCCTTCCTTGAAGATGCTCTTAAGAGGAAATGTGGTCAAAAATCGAACATTTTCAAAATATGGTGGCAACAGCCGAAAAATCGATTCGGCTCATATTCTCAAGTTAGGTAGGCCTTATGATGAAACAAAAGCTTTGCATACTTCGTTTGGCTGAATTAGCTAAACCTGTTATTTAACTATGTGCTATACAAAATAATCGACTGAAAATCTGGCTTTTGGAAGGCGAAGTGTGGTTCTTTTCGATCTCCAAAGGATTTTTTGGGGAAATGATTCAGTGCGATTTAATCAAATTTTAAAGTTGGATAAAATGAGCTGATTTGACGATGCCGTCAGTTATTCGAAAATGTACACATTCACACGCAAACTCGATTGTTTCGCATTTTACATCCAATCTGTTGCTTATTTAATATAACATCATCTTACTGTCCATATTGCTGTACCACAAAAGGGGATTGCAGTCCTGAAATTGTTGACACCTCCTGATAATGATTGTTTACAAAGCGTATCTCAGGGTTTCTCTCTTTCCATTTCGTAGAAAAGGAGGCTGTAATCACTTCACGCAAGAGATCTTTGTTTAAATATAAGTCTTTAACTAAACCGCGAACCAAATGTTGGCGAAATGTTGCTGATTCAGAAACACGTTTCTCGTGTGCGGAATAACGCTAATTAATTAAAAATTATGGTCCACAGAAATCGACAACTCCGCCAAAACACAACTTTGGACTGTAAAGCACGTGGCTAAAGGAACTAAGGTCGAGTGTTACATAAAGGAAACAGGAGCAAACAATTTTTTAACTCCGATCCTTATTGAGTTCATATTTTCATTTTGTAAATCATTGTTTAGGTTGATAAAGCTCATTTTAGCACAAAAAGAGCGAAAGATAAACATAGTTCGGTGATTAAAACCTCTGCTTGCTACAATAATACTGTATGTTACTGTTGATAAGTTTTCAACTTCCCTGCACTCATACTAAATTTTCTTTGTTGACGGTATGTCATGGTAATATTCAAAATGAGTTACAGTCAAACCTACCAAATGAAATTCAGAGGGGTGTTTTCATCGTTAATCACTGAAACCACACTGAGTATCTATAGAAACACTTGGTGCTTACTTTGTGCAAGAAGGAACCGGTCGAGATGACAACTGCCTCGAGTAGAGGTAAGGATTTTAAATAATTTACAAGTATTTTTTAAGACGCTGAAAAATTGATTCGTATCTGTTTCCCGTCTTCCTTACTATTTTAATCTCTATTGATTGTTTGATTAATTACAGAAATTACATTGACACTGGCATTTTCGTTTACAAATAAAAAGAATTGCAGAGAAAATATGTGGACTCTGCAACAGCATTTCGTGTCGTTCTCCTCATAAGGATATCTGCTGCTCATTCAAAACTATAGCAAGAGTACACTGTGACTTCGACAGACGATCCAGAAAACGGGAAACATTAATTATACCTCTTTTTGTCTGTTTAAGGCGGATTGAGAGCAATTCCGCTAGACTCGGTTTTTCCGGGCCAGAAGACAAAGTTGACCTAGTTCTTAGCCGAGCAACCATGTTCTCTCCTCCTGATCACATGTCTTCCATGACAATTTGTCCCTCGCTTAGTGCAAAGCTTGGTTTGGGGTGAACGAGAGGCTCTAGTTCGAGGCGCAGAGTTTCTTCTGATATATCAAACCACGCTCAATAATATATCGCCATATGATGCACTGATTGGCTTTGGACTTCTACAAGAAGTAGTCATTCACTTCTTAAATTTATTATCCTGGAAGGAAAGATTTAAGGAGATGGGCACAACATGGGTTGTTTACTTTCTTTTTTCTGGTTAAATGTAGTTGTCAATCTTTTCCCGATGGGCGTGAACATTCTGGTCTGACCAGACAACAGGCTTATCTTAAATTTTTCATTACGCATCAGCCACGCTCTATTATATTTCGCCATATAATGCATTGATGGCTTTGGGCCCGACCATATTTGAGGGGGATAGATCACTACTTGGCTACCTTCTTGGACAAGAATACTAAATAACTAACTAGTTGAGTTTATTTTTCAAAGCCACTGTTTCCAAAATGCAAGTATTTGATATAGGTATACCGACTCGCACTCGACTCTGCTGTGTCAGCTAGTGCAATGACTGCTCGAAGCGTTTCTTGAGTTCCGAGATACGCAGAAATGGTTTTATTTCCAGAAGTGAGCTTTTTCGCTGGGGCGGATCTAGGGGGGTTCGGGGGATCCGATCGAACTCCCTAAATCAAAACAACTAATGTCAAAAACTTGTAAAAATCTTAACTAAAAACAGTCAATCTTAAATGAAAAAAGCTCATAGCAAACTTAAGCTTCTGCTGCGCAATAAAGCTGAAGACTGTCCGCCTTGGCTCTGATGAGCATTCATTACGAAAAGCCCGTTGACTACGATGCTGTGGTCCAGCTTTTTGCGGTAAGATATCCCCGAAGAATTCTTCTTGTCGAACCCGTCTTTGAATAAATAAAAAATTGAATATGATAGAATGCAGTATCATATCATAGTTTTCTTAATGTACATTTGCACGTTTTTCCGTAGCTTTGTTAAATTTTTAAGAAAAAGAATAGCATTTTAACTTTAAAAATGAGATATTAACACACGCTGACTTTGCCTCAAAATGGCGCAAATCGCGTTTCCGAGGACTTGAAAATTAAAAATTTTCTAGCGGAGGATGCCCCCGGACCCCCCTACTGGGGCGCCTCCTTCGGCTTCCGCCTTTCATCAAACCCCCTCGACTGAAAACCTGGATCCATCCCAGTTTCGGAACCGCTGCCGTGAAAAGGTGGATGTGAAAAATGTGAAAGTGCTACCTGGGTCGTAGTCTTATCACCGGCACGAATAACTTAACAAGGTACAGTAGTCTCTGGACAAGAAGTAGTATAAATATAAAGCTGTTGAACGTTGGCTTTTACAAACATTTCAGCGAAAGTTGTGGTTTTCCAGTTTTAAACCGTATAAAACTTCATTTAAATAAACAAATATTCAAGCACTACACTTTTCTTTGTCGCACATCTGCAGTAATGTACGGTGGGCTATGCCCTTTGCAGATCTTTCGCTCGTTTTTCGTCCTAAAATGAGCTTTATCCCCCGAAGTACCATGAAACATTCAATTATGATACATTAAATTATGATGGGAGTTAGATAATTGTTTGCTCCTGTTTCGTATATGTAACACACGACCTTAGTTCCTTGTAGCCACGTGCTTCATGGTCCAATGTTTTATTTTTCGTTTTTTTCAGAAGATCTCATTTTGAGTTAATTAGCGTTATTCTGCACGCGAGAAACATGTTTCTGAACTAGCAACAATCCGCTTACATTTGGTTCACGGTTCGGTTGTAGACTTATATATATTTAAACAACGATCTCTTACGCGAAGTGTTTCAACGAATTGGGAATAGAGAAACCCTGAGATACGCTTTGAAAACAATCATTATCAGGATGTGTTGACTATCCTACCAAGTTCTATTGCTATTGAAGGAGCAATGCAACAATTTTAGGACTACAATCCCCTTTTCTGATACAGCAATATGGACGGTAAAATAATATTATGTTAAACAAGCTGTAGATGGGATGTAAACTGCGAAACAATTGAGTTTGCGTGTGAATGTGAACATTTTCGAACAACTTACGGCATCGTCAAATCAGCTCATTTTATCCAACTTTAAAATTTGATTAAATCGCACTGAATCATTTCCCCAAAAAATCGTTTGGAGATCGAAAAGAACCACACTTCGCCTTCCAAAATCCAGATTTTCAGTCGATTATTTTGTATAGCACATAGTTAAATAACAGGTTACTTTTGACCTCTTTTTAATCTTCCTAGAAGAAGGTCGGTCAAATTCAATAAGATTGTGTAGATAAACGATCAAGAATTGCTCAAATTGCTGTGAACATATGTATTGATGTTGTTTTTCAATATTTCGTAGTTTTTATGTGTTTTCAATTCGTGGCGGGACGCTCCGAGATTTGTCTGAAATTTTGAGCTTCAAAAGCGGCATTTGGCCGAAATTCAGTTATTATCGATTTTCTCGAAAATAAATTGATATTCAGCCAAACGAAGTATGCAGTGCTTTCTTTCACCATAAGGCCGACCTAAATTGAGAATATTACCCGAATCGATTTTTTGGCTGTTGCCACCAAATGTTTGACCGTTGATAACATTCGCTCGTAAATGCTTCTACGACTGTACCTGTTTCACCTTTTTTTGTCTATCACAGGTTTTATTAACCACGTTTGCCTAACCCATCAATGACCATAAGAAGGTACCTATAACCTTTATTCCATTTGCTGAATTGCTACATTTCAACCAAAACAGAACTTGAAAACCTTTACAAATTCTATCATATAAAATACTGGTCACTCAAGAGAACTTTCAAACATTTCAAACATGTCAATCTAGCATGTGAAATTTCAACGGCTCATTGCTAGTCGTTTAAGTGGAGCTGCAACATTGAATCCAGTAGCACTCAGGCGTAGTATTCACGGCAGACACAAAAATGAAAAATTATTCAAGAAAAATAGAAATGTGCTATTTCGCATTCACATCATTTGAAAAATATTGAATAAAATAAGATGATACACGCATGGTTCCAACTTCAACAACAAACAACTTCTCGATCAAATGAAACTATCAGATGACATCATCACTGATACGTGCCCACTCACTGACAAATATGAAAACAAATACAAAATGAAATTCAACACAAATAGATTTTATGATATCTCCTCTTTCTTCTAAAGCCATATTCAAAAATTGCTCATGTGTTTTCATCATTTTCTTCGATTTGGTTGCCTTCAAACGCACTTTTAAACCAATCAAAGAGAAAATCTTATTTATCACAAATTTCATGTTTATCATTCTTTTCTTTTTTTTCCTTCAATTCATCAACAACAAAAAGGACTTTCTATTTTTTTGTTAACGTCTCTATAACATAGATCTGATGTTCTTGATCCATACCAAACACTATTCTATCAATATGATACTTTCTGTGATAAACCGATTTCCTTTTAAACTTAAACTTATTTTCATGATAGTCGATTAACTCATTCACTAAGCCGATATATAGCCTCAGCGAAACCGCATTCAAGGCAAACATACTGATCACCAATGCATTCAACACGTGGATTAGCGCAACAAACACTCCGTCGTTTTTTGGGAAGAAAATATTCAAAACAAACAGGACAATCAAATTGCTGCACATCAATCAGATTAGTATGGAACTCTTCATCCGTGACATTACCATTTCATGCACATACTTTATTTTCTAGTCATAAATAATCATTCATGCATTTAAAAGTATAACTAAAACCATTTTTCTTTGATGTTGCTATTTTATAACCATATTTTTTATCGCACACACATTTTTCAAAAAATTTATAGTGACTTTGAGATCAGTTTAATGCGAAAGTCATACTTTTGAAACATGAAAATTTTCCGGTAATAACATTAACAACCTTACAGGTTTGCATTTAGCTCGATTTTCTTTATTGAGACAACTAAAATCCCACAATTTAGCTGATTTAGCACAATTCTCTTGCTGCGTCAACAATAGCCCATTTCCGAATTACCCTTGACCTCTTTTTCAAAACGAGGCCTGGTTCTCAACCATTCTGGTGAAAATGAGTTTAATTTGCATGTGAATGAAAACTTATCATCATATGAAAGGATGAGCACCAGGACTCGTTTTGGAAACGAGGCTAAGGGTAATTGGGAAATGGGCTATTGCCGGAAGATTCTGCGATCTGTTATCCTCTTTCGTTTCTTTGATATGATTAATTACTTTGTCCATATATATAACCAACCCAATATAACCCAATATAACCAACCCAACATTCATAAAAAAAAAAACCATGAGTTAAATACATTTTCCTTTCTCTCCTTTTCACATCACATTGAATATATCCATTTACCAGATAACCTTTCTTCTCACAATCCTCATCAATATTATTGATTTTAACATCCTTTGAAGCAGAAAATATATCATAATATGGATGGATTTTATTCTTGAAGAAAAACAACACTCTCTTATCATTGAAAAATCCACCAGTATTCAATATCAGTTTCTTTTCCATGCTTATATTTAACCCTTTTTTCTTGCATTTCAAATTTAAGCATACTAAGAATCAGTTCTTTGTTATCACAACACATCCATAATTCATTATTTTTATGGTTTGGATTGATATAACCAAGAATTCTCACAAAAACTTTAACTGAATATTTTCCCCAAAAAACTGAAAATTCTGATATTGTTCATTTACACTTTATTCCTTATTAAGAAACCTTTAAGACACTTTCAATCATTCTATACACCACAAAATTCACAAGGTAAACTGAAAAATCCCAAGGTCAACCACAAAATTCCCAAGGTCACGATACAACCGTATTAACCACCAACAAGAGGACGGTAAACCACTTCATTGTTCAACAGAAACAAGCATAAGTAGTAGCCACAGTTGAGGCCAAACAAAAAAATCAAAATTTTCGTGTCCACAACATCGATCGGCTAGTTGGGGGTCAACAGAACAATATATTTCGCTCAGATCAATTCAAACAAAGCAATCGGTTAGTTGAGGGTCAACAGAATGATGAAATTATCTGATTTTGAACAACTGCCACCGCCTTTCAAGGTACCAGGTTGTCAAATAAATGAAGAGGATTTAGGAGAAATAGATCAAGAGAACATGTCATGAATTTAAAAAAAATACAACACTAGATAAATATACCTGTTAATAATATCAAATTTCAGCTTGCTGAGTTTAAACAAGAATAAAAGAAGAAAGTAATTTATTGATAAACTTTGCGAGGAGGCAACAAAGAGAGAGATCTTAAACACATCTGGCGCAAAATGGCAAAAAACGATTTTCAGTCATTTTTAAACTCGTTTCCACGAGCATGATAGGGTTCAGGCTACCACTAGACAAAGTTACGCCTCCAGCATGCTATTTCAAATGATCAAAATTAGTCAAAAAGGCCTAAAATGTATAGGTATTAAAAACACGCCAGCAGGTATTTTCATGCATCAGAGTAAAAATTCTGATTTGTTTAGGTACTTTGCGAAAATCTGTGTCTTAATTTCAAAAAATCTGGCATTATTGACCGGCTATGAGGGGCTTCGAACTAGTGCTTAGATGGTCGATGCACCAATAGGCCTAAAATCCTACCATAATTATAGAATTATTGGAGGGAAAAATGTTTTCATCATCTGTTTCACCGAGGTCAGGAAAAGTTATTCAACTGATAAAATCATCTCCCAATTTGAAAAACAAAATAAAATAATAAAAACATCCATGTGGAAAGAAGCAAATTAGTTTGCGCAGTTTTGCATCGAGTGATGGTCAAAAGGAAACTGCATTACAAATCCGGCTTTTAAAAACCTAGTACTTAATTTTGAAGATTTTATCAGATATTGAGGTATTGATGAACTCAGCTAGCGCCGAATAATATTTAGGTAACCTAATTCGCCCACTAATATTAAGTTCAGAGGTTGGAATCTGAGACTTTTGCAGCGAATTAGGTGTGAAATTACAGAGAAGGGAAAAAGTAAATGTACTTGGATTAAAAATGAGTCAGACGAAGTTGACAAAGATCCACTAGTTTCCGACGAGGTCAGGAAGGAAAACTTTGTCATTTACATGTAATAGTTCACATGAATATGCTCCGATGTAAAAGCAGCTAGATTTAGCCCTTCTCAGTTAGCTGCTTTAAGAAATCCGTAACTCTGATCAATGACTGCAATGAAATCAAGTTACGTTCACATCACTGATGTGCCTCCTCTGCGGAGCCAATCACATCTTTCTTAAGTATACTGTTTACGATTTTTACACGCAAGCAATTTCCTTTGATTGCATGGTTCGCATTTTTAAGTTTCAATTTGTGGAAACAAGAACAATGAAATCTTCTTTTGATGAAATCCCTGTGGTAATCCTAGATAAAGGCCAACTATCTCAAAAAGCAGCTGAGTGTTTAAGTCCAAAATCTCTATATATACAAAAGTCTTGAGAGATTTAGATGAAAATACGTTTCGATGCAGATGTGTCTATTTCGTTGCAATGATGGATTTAGCGCAACATGTTCAGTATTTGTAGCAGAATTACAAAAAGTGGTAGCAAAAAATTTAAAGGCTTACCTTGTGACGAATCAGATTCTGCTCAACTCAACTGTTCCGTGAAGCAGTCAGCTGAAGAGTTACCACAGCAATGAAATTAGTCACAAAGATGAATTCGACTGGAAAAAAATAAATCTACTTCAAAATTGAATTAGACGAAGTTTACCAAGATCCATCAACTATACTTTCAATATTTGAATTCCTGTAAACACATTACTCGATATAGAAAATGGTGAACTATTCAAAAAGTAGAGAAGCTAGCTCGTCACATTCCACTGAGATCAACCCTTTTTTCCGAAGGGTAAGGTTAAACTTATCTGGCATTCATAAACTTCCGAGATTCAGACAAAAGTACAATTGTCGGCTAAATCGCTTAACATGTTTTTCTATGTAGATATCTCTATTTCGCCTGATAATGCAATTTTGAATTTCAGTAGTCTGCGCAGTATTCCTGGTGGAACTGAAAAGCTAGAGGAAGAAGTCAGAGGCGTACCTTGTGATGTTAAAGATCCTGCTTGACTCGGAATTACCGCAACACTGATTGATTTCTGCAATGAAATCAGTAACTAAAATGAATTCGACGGGGAAAAATGAAAAATAATTGGATTGAAAAATAAGTTGGATGGAGTTGACCAAGATCCGCTAATTTACAGCAGGAGTTGAGAGGGGAAACTTTTCCACTTATCTTCAAATGAACTGATGCTCCGATGTTATAGCAGATTTAGCCCTGACAGTGCAGTAAAACGTAACCGGCTGACTCAGAAAGATTACTGCCGTAAAAGCGAGGGCAAACCTTGTGGTATATCGGGTTCACCTCAACCTAACTGTGTCGTGCAAACTGGTAAGCGCTAGCCGCTTGGAGAAACGCGTAACTCTGATAAAGTTGCATACACGTCACCGATGAGCCACCTCTGGGGAACCAATCAGATTTCTGTATGGTATACTGTTTACTCACAGACAAGCTTATTTGGTTGGTTCGCATTTTTAGCATCAGTTCATGGAAAGAAGAATAATAGAATCTCTGTTTAGATGAAATTCCTGGGATAACTCTGGTAGAAGGGCAACCCTATAAAAGCAACTTTAGTTTTGTGAAAGTCCAAAGTCTCTGTTATGCAATGTTTGTCCTTTATAGATTTTTGCCAATTATCAAAAAATTTTTGTTCCAAAAGTGTTGGGGCTTTGTTAGGATTCTGCAAAATCCTTGAGTGCAGCTGCCATTGCAGTCCTGGTCATACGAATAAAGAAGGCTTCTGCGAACGTGTTCCGTATCTCCTTTGATTGCTCTTTTATGGCACGATGAAAGCTATCAATATCTCTTAAGCGTTCACTGAGTAGGAAACGAGTGATGTTTACGGGAGTCCATAAAAAGTGTGACGTAGAAAGTCGGGCTCTTACTTAGCGGTCAAAAAGTGCCAAATTTCTTAGTTGACCACAAAACTGTGGCCCATGCGTTCCAAAACGATAGGTTAGCAGTGTTCTTTAGCAGGAAGAGCTTTCTCAGAAAAAAAATCAATCGACTGTGAATTTCGTTCGACTTTAACCAGGGTTATGCATCGCTAAAAGTGCCGTATGTTGTAAGCACGAGGTGCTCTCTAGATTATTCTTTTTCATGTCAAATAACCACTGATTTGGCCAATTCAATTACGGCGAGTACAGTATCATTATAAAATTAAAAACTTACTAGCGTAGAGTAGTGTAGTGTTGAACTGTTTCCCCAAATCAGTTTTATTGTTCACACCTCCTCTGCGAAAGAACACTGATCAAAGTCTCCCGTAATATCACATGAAAGTAAGCACACGATCATGACACTTTCACCAGGGAACCAATGAGGTTTCAGTAGCATATATTAACATAATTGTTTTCCTAGACAAGAGCATGATTGTTTTGGCTCTCTCTGTGTGGAATAAGTAATTGCTTTTATTACATCGCTCGCAGCATCCAAGTCTCCTTCGCAGCCGTTGTTTGGGCTCGTCAGGGAGCGTTGCGTGACGAGCCCAAACAACGGCTGGGAAGGAGACTAGCAGCATCCGTGGGCAAGATGAAGCGAATACTGTGTTGTGATTGGCTACCCGAGCGGGAAAGATGGCCCATCTTGCCCGCATTGATCCCGCGCATGAAAAAAATTGAATTAGAACTACATTCGTCATTCTTGGAGAATTTCGGCGATGGAGACGAAAAAAGCGGCAAAGGATAGTCAAAACAAAGAAAACAGAAACGACTCTCGAGAGTTTGTTGTATTACAAACACACTTGGCTTTCTTTCCTGGCTCTCGAAGTAAACAAGTCATTCTTAATTCTTTATAAAGCGAAATATTTTTGCAATACAAATAATCTTTTAATGACCAAGCTCGTTCGATCAAGATGGCTGGATATTAGTCTTGTTCTTTTTTCGCATTTTTATGGACCACGACTTCTTCTCGGTCTATAAAAATGTAAGAAAAATAATTCGGCCAATATCCAGCCATGTTGACCTCACGCTCGGTTAGTAACGCATAGAAATAATTAACTCTCTGTTATGACCATTCCAAATTTAAAAGCCAACTTTTCCTTCGTCTCATCGACGTTTAAAACAAGAAAGCAAATGAGATATTTGCAATACTTCATATAGTTACTCTGAAATTCGAGAGGAAAAAAAGGTTTTGGATGCATGTATGTTAGACGAGGGAGTCATTGAATGAAAATTACTTTCTAGGAATTCGATTCTTGGAATCGTTCATAACAGTTTAAAGTACTTCTGTTGCTTCTACGAATTGCTACCCACTCATATCGCATGACCCGTTTTATATCTAAAAACGTATACGATTTTTTTGAGAGAAGATTATTTACTAGCCTAGTTACGTGTGTTTCAAAACTATGTTCTACACTCTACTTTGAGAGTGACATTCCATCTGTACGAGAGCGTGTAACGTTTACCCTGCAGCATGCATAATTTGTTGCATCCTTTATGGAAAAATAGAGGAATTGAGTAGGAACTTTTTCTCTATTCACTTTCACTTCCAAGCGATGTCGTCGCGAGCAGTTATAATTGTAGCAGCCATTAACAATGTTTACTTAGAACATTTCACTCTTACTTTGCTTGTCTATTCGTACAAAAAATAATTCCATACATAATTAACTGATCTAGTTGTTGCGATCATACCACTGGAATAAAAAAACCAACTTTTTGTTTACATGTATATCTTTCGACGTTTTAAACAAGAAAGAAGTTTTATAAAAGTTCAGTCCGACGAGATTGACGAGCCTTATCTTGAAAAATCTCTTTATTGACGTAGAAAGTCCTTTGGTTAGTGGTTAAAGTGGTGCCAAATTTCTTAATTGCACACGAATTTGTGAGTTGAACGTCATCGTCCGATTTGGTTCACGTGTTACAAACAAAAGTTCAGCAGAGTTCTTTAGCGTTGAATGCTTTCTGAGAACAAAAGAAATTCGCGGTACACGTATCAAAACACCATATAACTAGACATTCAAGTTTGCAATAAATATATCATTGACAGAGTTAAGGTGAACCTTTTAAGTCATTGATCATACCGAATAAAGTAGCCAACTTTTCATTTGCGTCCTTTGACATTCAATACAAGGAAGCGGTTTTATAAACCTTACATATGTATTCGTTGTTGTTGTTGACAGCGGCGAAGTTGTTCGGAGAGGTCTTTGACTGCGGTGACTTTGAACTCTGTGGGGGTTTCAGTGCTGGCGGTCGGTGTCTTGGTTTTTTTTTCTGTCATTTACCTTCAAATGAAATAGCAAGTTTAGCGCTTGGCAGTTCAGTAATACTGGCTGACTTAGAAAGCCAACCGCAGAAAAAACTAGGTCAAACCTTATTTATTGGCGATCTTCACTGACTTATTTTTTTCCTAAACATGCAGTCGTAATCTTATGCAGCATTGCCACTATCCCTGAGTCAAACATAAAACTGACTTGAAAACTTATGTAAATGCTTGCTTTTTATCATTCTTAAGGGCCCCTAATACTACATCAGCTGCGGAAACTTGAATCTTTCTTACGGTTCAATGATTGACCTCTGCTTAATTAAAATCGAAAAATGTAGTGGATACAAAATTAACTGAGCAATCTTATAACCTCCACCGATTTAATAGAGGCTCTATTTTACAAACGAAATACTCTTTCAACCTTCCATCGCTTTTGTTACTTCAAGTGTGGTATATAGAAGCCTCCCGGTTAGCTCAATAGCTGTTATTACCGTTGAGCCCACGGTACAGCGGTATTAGTTACAGAGTGCGCGAAAGCGAGGTTTTCGGGTCAAATGGAATCACCTCAACAAACACTCGTGTGACAATTTGACCTGTGGAGTGTTTTCTTCGTTTGTGATTGCAGAGCTGGTAGTTCATCCGGCCTAATTCTGTTGTGAAAATCATGGTGAGGCACTGCATCGCTTATGGATGTGTTAACAGAAGTAATAAGCCAGAATGTTCAAAATTGTCGTGGCATTCTTTACCTATAAACAATGCTAAGCCTCTTCGAACCTGGTTGCTTAGAATGAAGAGAAAAGACCCTCCTGTGTAGAAACATTCTTACCTCTGCAGTCAGCACTTTTCTGAAGATTTTTTTAAGCGTTGTGTGGGAGAAAAACGATATCTGAAAAGTGGATCTGTTCCTACAAGATTCAGTTTTTCACCGGAGGAACATAAAGCGGCAAGGTGTTTACAAGAGGCGAAATTATGGACCTCTTCCTGCTGGGCATGGACTGCAGCAAGCACAGGTGATCTCACCAGCTTCCTCTCCTGAATTGACCATGGTAACATTGACCTTGTACTTCAAATTCTTTTCCATCTCTGCCAGACATTCACCTTTTATATGGATCACGTCTCCATTTTCACTCGTGCCAACTTCGATATTTTTTACGTGACCATGTCTGAATAGTCCAAAAGCCTTACTATTCAGATTTTTATAGTCTTTATTGCCTTCATTATCTCCCGATTTTCTCTCAATAACATAATTCATCATTTTCTCAATTGTGGACGGTGAAAATTCAGCACTCTGGATGGGACACCAGTTTGCAGCTTGTGGAAACTCGTACGGAGTGTTCGGAAAACTCGTGCTGGACGAGGAAACATCATCATTATTTCTTGAGTCAGATGCTAAGTGTTTCCAACTTTCGGTGAAATTGCTTTCCCATCCATTTTTTATGTAACTTAAAATTCTACAAAAAAAGATAACGTTATATACATTTAAAAGAGAGAAAAAAAATACTGTTATTGCTGTACGAATATTAGGCAGGAGGAACGATCACACGTCCTACCGCTCACCTGTGCATTAGTTCGCGTTTGTTGGCGTCATTCGAAGCACAACCATCTTTTGCTGTTCCTACACGGTATGAAAGCCACGTTCTCAGCCTAGGCTTTGTTAAGTGACGAGAACAGTTTCCACTTAGTAATTGTAGCCTCTCTTCTTGTGAGAAAAAAGAAAAATCTGGAGGGGAGCTCATAATTATTTTTCTCGAATTTTTCTCATTGGGCGCTTGGTTTCTCCTGAAAGATTGACCCGAAAGCCTCGCTTTCGCGCACTCTGTAACTAATACCGCTGTAAAGTGGGCTCAACTGTAATAACAGCTATTGGTTAGAGCGCCGGACTGTTGTGCGGGAGGTCGAAGTCGAGGGTTTGAGCCCCGGCCGGACCAACACTCAAGGTCTTAAAATGACTAAGGAGAATGTTCTACCTTTCTATAAAAATCAAGAAATGGGTAGACATTCTAGTCTTCTCCGATAGGGACGAATAAACCGCAGGTGCCGTCTCCTGCATCTATTAATTAGTTAATTTGGTTAGGTAGGGGACATTAAAGAACCTACTCACGAGATTACTGTGATGTGGTCTTGGCTGTTTATTGGGAATTGGGGGAGGGTGGAGGGGGCATCTTCAAATAAGTTTCCTTCGACTGTTTGTAAACTGCTCATGCAGTCCGGCCAAAGTCCCCCGAAAAGTGTTGTGATGTGCATTTGATCATGTCCACATGTTAATTTGCGCAATATAAATATTAAATTATTATTTATTATTATTAAATAGAAGCTGGCACAAGCTTAAAAACTATCTGCAGTATGATAAAGCAACGTCTCTGCAAACCTGGTTTTTGATGAGGTTCTGCTCCGCAACTCGGCTGGGCCTCGTATTAACCGGTCAGCCGCTTGAAGAGATCTCGCTACACTGATTGTTTACAGCTGCAGCGCATTCAATTAATTTTCATTCAAGTTTCCACGTTGGAGCCAATCAGATTTATCTGTTGACACAGACAAGCTTTGCTTATTAGTTCACTTTTTATAATTCTTTATTAGTAGAAACAGGGACTTTCTCTTTCGTAAGCATTGGTTCACTATTTGTGTTTGTCTTGGAAATAACCGGTCAGGGTCTGCTGTGTTTCGAGGAACAAAGCCACCTTTTGACTGAATGTCTAAAATAAAGTTCCTGCTCCCTCGTGCTCCCTCATGCTTTAAGTTGTTATTACCACTTTTCAAACCCACTTTGTTTAGGAATAAGAGATAAAAATACTCCTCTAATCAAATATATGATGCTATGCTGACAATCCTGTCTTTCTGTGGAAGTCTTGTAACGCAGCTCTCAGAGTTACAAAGTGAGCACATGATTTTCACAACACTCCTGCCTTCTCATCCGTTAATTTGTCTTAATGCGGAAAAAGGGAGTTTTCCCTATTAAAGAGGGCACTGTAAACACCGACTTGTTTTTGCTCAAGGTTAAATTTTCATTTTTGATTAACAGTTTTCCTTAAATGCTGATTATTGG